CACAGGTGGGAAAGACTGAAGGTACCCAGAGAGGAAGCAAATCATAGAAGAGCAGCAATTCCCCTAAACCTTCATACTGGGGAGAAGCCGAGGCGAAGGAGTGGAGGAGGTGATTAAGGGGAGAGAGAAAATGGAGCAACAAAGAAGGGAAATGAGTGAATGGCGTGTGTGGAAGAGGAGACCAAAGCCGAGAGCCTGGGAAATCGTGGAACCTGGGGGGAGAACAAAGTGGGAGGAATTTTTGGGAGAGGTGTCTGCCTGTATCAACAGGGACAATAATAAAGGACTGTATACCAGCTGAGCAACTGGGCCTGTGGAATTCAAGTTTTGGGAGCTCTCTCAAGAAGTGGAAAGCTGTTCTAGCCCAGGTGGAGGGAAAGGAGAAAGACTATGTTCCAGTTGAAGTCAATTGTTTATTCTATAGTTCTAAAATAAATGTTCAACCGTTGCAACCACAATTGGTGTCCGGTTCTAAAATAAATGTTCAACCGTTGCAACAATTGGTGTCCATGTTCAAAGATGTGGGAATACGAGAGGAGGGAAGACAACTTGAGATCCAACCCTCACCCTCGCAATCAGTCTGTCCAAAACCAATTCATCTTCCCTGACAAAGTGAAGCACAGATGGGCAGAACTCAAGCTGCTCTACCTTAAGGGAAACCAACTTATACTTATTGCAACTGCAGTTTTCTCAATTCTACATTTTCAGGCAGATGAACATAGTGCAGATGTTACAGGAACTCTTTCTTCATCCATTTTTCTTCATGTTATGTTGGTAGTAACACAATACTCCTGACTGCCCCCCTTTAATGTTCACAAAAACACCCCAGTTGACTTAGAGGCTGTCCACACTGACATATAAATTGATATATAGATCACTCTTGATAAGGTTTGGATTGGACCAAATTATGGTGACCAAACATGCTTCCCAACTTTGGGTCCGCAGACTTTCTTGAACTAAAACTCCCAGACTTTTCACAAGCTGTGCTGACCAGAGCAGACTTTCTTGAACTAAAACTCCCAGACGTTTTCACAAGCTGTGCTGACCAGGATTTCTGGGAGCTGTAATCCAAGGACATCTGGTGACCCAAGCATTGTTTTAAATCGACCCATCTTTCCCCTTTTAAGAACTGTCTCATACCTTTTCGAATTCATCAAGGATTTTTACTATTTTGGTGTGCTGTGATAAGCTAGAGCAAAGCCTGTCCCTGATGAGTGTGCTTGTCTGGAACTGACTAATAAGAGCCCTGCAGCTCCCTCCTTCCAATGTCAATTTCTGGTATCCTGAAGTGTTCTACCAGCTGCTTCAGGATTCTAAAAATTGAACACTACCCCTGACCACCTGTATATAATCAGGGGAAGTGGGGGAAATTTTTTTTTACATCTGGTAAATTGTCAAAGTGATGCATCACTTGTTAAACTAAAAAAATGTTCTCCTTTGCCCGTCTTGTGTATTGCCAATCGAGAAATTACATGTAGCTTTCACTTCTTCCCCTCTGCAACTGCTAAGAGTCCTTCCTTGAAAGGGCATCTGCAGTGCAGATCTACTTATAACCTGCTGGGGCAAAACCTTAGACACTTAAAACTGAACCAACACACAAACACACCTGCCTCGAAGGCACCTCCATGGCTGCAGGCAACTTCTTGATCAGCAATACACAGAGAAAACAACAACCCTATTTTCTTAATTTAACAAAAGAGAGGCATTGCTTCATCAATGATCTAGAAGATGTAAGAAAATTAATTTCACTTCCTCTGATCCTCTGCAGATGATCAGAAGCATTTAATTGACAGCAGAAACCATAGTGCTGTTCAGATGGGAGAAGCATGCCAAACAGCACATCCCTCCTCCCTTGAACTCAACCAATGCTTTGAAGTCTAGACAGGCACTTATATCGCTCACAAGCTTGTAGGGCCTGTGATTTTAGTTTTAGATCTCGCAGCTGGTAATTTCATTTCCAACCAAGTGCCTCAGTTTCTCTCAGCAGTAGCTGCTCCTGCTAATACTATGTGCTTAAAGCAGAGCACACAATTGCAGTCCAACAAAGAGCCAAAAACACACAAAAATTCCTAACAGATTAGGCAATTAATCATCCTCAAGCAATCAAACACATTCTCACCCTACTTTGTTGCTTCTACCAGTGTCACATAAAATGCAACTGTTGAGTCACTCTCTTCAAAAGCCACTGCTCATAAGCTCCCAGTGTCTCCGAGTTGTGGTCTTACAACATCTGAAAGGCCACAGTAGCCCACCTCTGCCTTAAATATATACTAGCCACAAAGGTCTCCAACACTATCACTTTGTAAGGCTACTAGGAAGTGAGCTTTTTAGCAACTGATAATGGAGGGCTTCTGCACCTGTAGCCAAAAATATTGGGTGAAGGAGGGGGTGCAGGTTTAGTAAGAAATCCTGGTGTAATCTGTTATAACCAGGTGTGCCTTGTGGCATCTAAGGAGTTTCTTTTGCAGTCATGAAATGTACATTTGTTGTTAGAAAGATTAGCATTTTATTTCTTTGTGAAGAGGCATTAGCTTTGGATCCTTCCAGATAGCTTGACTGCAGCTCCTTGAGTGGTTCTGATTCAGGTTTTTATCACATTTTTGCCTTGCCTCATTCACGGCAGTTTACAGCTGCTTCATCTAAGATTATGCTTCTCTCTCACACACACATATACACCTTTTTCCACATCTTTCTTTTTCTGACTGTGGAGAATCTGTTAGGAAAGAAAAAAAAAAGCAGAATAACAGCACACCTTCACACCACTGGGGAAAATGAGGAACCTTCTGTCTAGAAATGTCCATAAAGTAAATCTGCATATTATTTTGATCGGGAGCACTGTGGTAAAATTGTTGGTTGCAAATGGGAGACAGCATAACCTAAACCTCTCATAAAATTCCATTCGAAGCAGAACAGGCTTGTCTAGAAATACCTTGAGTTGCCTTCAGGGCCTGAACCATTGTGCCTATGAAACATAATGCTTAATTGCTATTAACTTTTCTACATTGCCCAGCGATAGCTCTTCAGAGTTGGGGAGTAAATTTCAAACAAATGCTGCCTGGGGAGGAGTTTGAAAACATAAAACCCCCACAAGGGTTTGCAGACTGCCTCTGAACTCACCTCAAGAGCCTTACCTGGTACTAACAACTGCCAGAAGACTTCAAGAGACTAATATAAAATATGTATGAACTATTCACAATATCTTGGTGCACAGCCTGAAGGAGACAAGTTATCATCAAAAGCTAGCTGTCTGCTTGATTTTTTAAAATGGTCTAATAAAAGTATAACCTACTCTTGCATTTAAATTGTTTTTTGGCGGGTCCACGAAGCCTTTTTCTAATTTTTTTTCCTAAAAGACGAAGGCTTGATGATGACCATGCGCCACCTTCTCCAATGGGAAAAAGAGAGAGATAAACGTCCCAGCAAATCTCTTTCCCGGGATAACTGGTCTTCCGCCCTCCCGATTTTATAATTAAGATGAGGCCGCCGGAAGGTGCAGCAACGCTAAGACGCGAAGCCACGCCAAAACCTCCACTCCATCCCACGCCGAGCTCAAGCGCGCCCATATTTGTAGTATTCTGAGGCGGCGCGCGACATTCCTGGCTGGGGACCACGTGAGGGCGAAAGATTGGAGGCGATAAGAGCGCGTGAGAGGCTCTCCTTTCGTTTCCCTCCTTCCCGCCTTCTCAGACGAAGCTTTCCTCAAGGTGGAAGGCAGCCGTTGGGCGGCAGCGTGCGCCTATTTCTCATTCGCTCTCGGGTGCACGAGCGAGCTCGGGTGACGTGTCCCTGCTTGGGACCAATCGGAGAGCGGCAAAGGAGACACAGAATGCGCCCCGCCTCCGCCTCCCTTCCCCGCCCCGTGGGCGGAGCGGTTCTTTTCGGGCAGGCGCTGGCTGGGTAGTGATGGCGGACGATGGGGATGGGAGGCTAAGGACTGAACAAGGAGTTCGCTCTCGGGTGCACGAGCGAGCTCGGGTGACGTGTCCCTGCTTGGGACCAATCGGAGAGCGGCAAAGGAGACACAGAATGCGCCCCGCCTCCGCCTCCCTTCCCCGCCCCGTGGGCGGAGCGGTTCTTTTCGGGCAGGCGCTGGCTGGGTAGTGATGGCGGACGATGGGGATGGGAGGCTAAGGACTGAACAAGGAGCTGGCGGGGGCGCGGGTAGCCGCGGTCGCCGCGGCCCAAAAACCAGCCCGGAGGAGAC